TTGCATTCTCTCAACATTCCTGCTCCTCTGGTGCATGAGGCCAACGTGCCCTGGGATGGGGGACAAATGTGGTACAGTATAGGAGTGAAGAATATGGGCTCTGACTCAGTCAGATTAAAATCTCAACTCTGCCCTATGCACGAACTGCATGATCCTGTGGGAGGTACTTCTGGAGTCTCAGTTTCTTCATCTGTAAAATGGGAATCACTGTCAAAAGGAGGCGAGTGGAGAGAGTGCATGTAAACGGAGAACGCATGTAAGATGGCACTGAGCTGCACACAAAGGATCAATACATGGTGTGCATTGATCCGATTCGCCGTTCATCACTTGAGCATCTCCTAATTGTGAAAGTCCTGGAGTGTGCATTCACAGGCCAGTGCAGGTTCATGCTGGGGGCAGGCCCTGTGAGACAGAAGCCCCCTCTTCCTGCAGACCTCCCTGACATCCGCACTCCATTCCTCATCTGTCTCATCTTTCTTCCCAGACTGGTCTTCCTCACTCCACCCCTCCTCTTTCTTTCTCCTGGAGCCCAACTGCCTCCTCCATGGCCCTCCGAATCCCCACTGCATCAGGCAATCCTTCATGGCCAAGTGTCAGCATCACCAATGCTCCTGGGATGACAGGAGGGGGGAAAGCCACTGGTCTCAACCAACCTCTCCCCTCTGCATTTATCTCAGCCCATCCCCCGGACCATCCTTCAATTCTCCCCTGCTCCATAAAAATATCGCACCAACTTCGCAGTTCACATTTGCTCATTTGGTCTGCTTGACTTGCTTACCATTGCGGTCTCCCTGTCTGAGGCCTCTACTCGAATTGGGATGATTTTGTCTGTACTTAAAGGCACTGACCTTCCAGATCCCTGGACTTCAGGAATTTGTCCTCATCCTCTCACCAGTCTCTGAAGCACCACCTTATTCAGGGGTCTGGTCTTGATCGTCCTAACTGTGCAGGGCTGGCCGGTGGGTTTCCAGATCTCTGAGATACTACCCTTCCTATGCTGTCTGGCTCTCTCCTTCTCAAGGCCAGCCTGAGAGTTAACAGAATCAGGATTTTGCTTGAAAAACGGAGGAAAGCCCAGAGCCCTCCATGGAATCAGCTACTTTCTCAGCATAACATCAACTGACAGTAGAAATCAGACCAGGTGTGATCATCATCATGAATATTTATATTTATTTATCAATTTTGCAAGATCCTATCAAATAAATAATTGCACATATTTCAACCACTTGATAATTAAAATAGTCACTAGAAGCAAAGACCTGAATGAAGAGCCCAGACCTTTATATTTTCATAGAGATTTGTTTTCCTTTTTGTGGTTCTCATGCATTTACTTATGAGAAATTCCTACAAGCCACTCTGCCTGATTCAAGACTTTGAAGAAAAATGCCTCCTGCGAGTCAGTTAATTCAGAATAGTGGATTAAAGACAGCCCAGACAGCAATTCTTAGCATCACCCCTCTCATCTGGTAACAGTCCATCTACAGCAAGTCACTTCCCTCTTCTATGCCAGGGTCTCTCAACCAGGAGACTATTGACATTTTGGGCCAGATCATTCTTTGGGAAGGGGGAGGAAAGGGCTGTCCTGTGCACTGTAGGTTGTTTAGCAGCATCTCTGGCCTGTATCCTCCAGATACCAGGAGCACCCCACCCCTGGCCTGGTCATGATGATCCAAAATGTCTCCAGAATTGCCAAATATCCCCTGGGCGAGCAAAATCAACCCCCCACCCCACCACCCCCCCGCCACACACACAAACTTCTTCCTGGCACATCCATTAGTCCAAGATTAGTGTTGCAAACACCCTTCAGGGAGGACAGGGCTCCAAGGACCATCACCTTTGCTCTTTGTTACCCAAGAGAGCCAAGAAAGTAGTTCCTAGTAGCAGCAAGACATGGGAAAACCCTGCTTGCCAGTGAGGCTTGGGGCTCACAGGGAATACATGCTCACCAAGGCCATAAGACTTCAATTTGTGGATGCTAGAAAACAGGGCATCAGGGAGGCAGGGGTCCACTGCTGAGATGTGTGACTGAGTGAGGTGCAAGGACTGGAGAGGCAGGTGTGGCCCCTCACCACACTTGATCTTACCTGTGGAAGTCTACCCAACTTGTGGAAGTCACCAACACAGGATCCGCCAACTGTGTTTGAAAACAACCCCCTCATGGATGGATTTCCCTGGGCTGGTGCACAGTTCCTCTGACTGCATTCAGCATGCGTGTCTTGACCCACAGTGGACCTTCACAGTAGGGCCCTGGGCCGTCTTCACTGACTCCTCTCAAGGACTAGAAGGGCCCAGCACCATCCCACGATAGTCAAGTGCTAATCTCATCAGTCACCCTTCAAGTACTTAACAAGCCCACCCTGTAGATCCTTGCTGCACACAGTGTCTCCACAGGCTGGTACAGTGGGAATCCCCTGGGAACTTGTTAGAAAAGAAGACTCTCAAGGCCCCGCCCCAGAACTTCTGAATCTGAGTCTGAGCTTTAGCAGATTTCCCAGCTGCTGTGCATGGATGTGAACGCTGAGAATTCCTAATGGAAGTAATGCAGGAAAGGGAGAAGATCTCCTTCCCTCTAGAAGCTCACATTCTGGCAGAGAAAATAGGATACATAAAAATGAAGGTCAGCGCGGTGGCTCACTCCTGTAATCCCAGCACTTTGGGAGGCCAAGGCGGGCGGATCACGAGGTCAGGAGTTCGAGACCAGCCTGGCCAACATGATGAAACCCCCATCTCTGCTAAAAATACAAAAATTAGCCGGGCGTGGTGGTGCATGCCGGTAATCTCAGCTACTCAGGAGACTGACGCAGGAAAACTGCTTGAACCCAGGAGTTGGAGGTTGCAGTGATCCAAGATTGCAGTACTGCACTCCAACCTGGGCAACAGAGCAAGACTCCATCTCAAAAAAAAAAAAAAAAGTATACACACACACACACACACACACACACATTAGCTGGGCATGATGCCATGAGCCTGTAATCCCAGCTACTCAGGAGGCTGAGGCAGGAGAATCGCTTGAACCCAGCAGGCAGAGGTTGCAGTAAGCCAAGGTTGCACCACTGCACTCCAGCCAAAAAAAAAAGGATATATAAAAAATGAGGCAAGGGAGCAGAGTGCAAGTCTATACCACCAAGCATGTTTTGGGAGGACACCTGGATGCTGAAGACCAAGACTAAGTGCTGCCTTAGCCACTTACTTCTACTGAGCCTCAATGTCCTCATCTGTAAAGTGGGGATAACACTTGCCCTGTCTACCTTACAGGAGTGTCCTAAAGATCAAAAAGGAGGGGAAAGCACTATTCTGACCTAAAGTACTATTTAATGTTAAATGTACTCTAAATGTTACAGAGGTTCAGAGAGGAGGCGGCTCCGGGTGACTGGAAGAGTCTGGGAAGATCCAGCAGAGGGAGTTGGGGAACTGGGAGTACTGAGTCATATGCTAAACGAGGTGCTGCAGTAAATAAAGCAAGATGGAAAAGTGCACATGCTGACGACTGCACCCAACACCGCCTCAAGCCTGGGCCACAGGGAGCTCCCACTGACTTACTTTCACCCACTAATTCCTCACAGTCTATGGAAGAGCAACACCGTGGGTCTCAGAAACACGTACAGTGTTCACGAGTGCTTTACAGGAGACACAGCAAGCACAGACGGTCTCTGTGGCAAGGCTGGCAAGAAGCTCAATTGCTGCAAAAGTTATTAACTCTGGGTTGGGGCAGAGGGCAATGGACTTGTTTCCATTTTTCAGAGCTGAGCTGTGGGGATGGTTAGACACTGCAAGAGGATGCCTGGAGGAGGGGGAGGTAAAAAAAAATGAGCCAGTGAGTTCTTGGGTAATAGTTTTCCTAGATAACGTTTATGAGCCTTTGCTATGTACTTGATGTTTTCATACTTACAAAAAATTCCTCCTCACTATGATCCTATCAGGCAGGGACTTTTGTCCCCACTTCACAGATAAGGAAACTGGAGATTTAGAATTTGAAGCCAGGTTGGTCTGCTTTCCAAAGCCCATGAGCTTAACTGCAAGCTAAACTTGCAGGGTCGTCTGAGAATCTCTGTTCTTCCCTGTGCAGTTGAAACAATCAATGTGGCTGTACTTTTGTTGTAAGACCTGGCTCTTCCCGACTCGCTGACGTTTGCCATGCTTGTCCTGAGCTTCTCCAGAGAAACGCTGTCTTCTGGCAGGAAAAGATAAAAACGGCTGATATAAATGAGTCACCACACTCGCTATAATTAACAGTGATGCAAGAGCCAGATGCAAAATAAGAGAGGCCTCCGGACCTGACTTTTAGGCTGCCCAAACTTTGAGCTGCACTTCAATGCAGAACAGTCTCCATGGCTGGGCTTCCATCTGTTTGAGACGTATTTTAAATGAAGAAATAAAACCCGGAATGCATGCAAGCCCCAAGACAAGGGAGCTGAGAGGAGCGGCACCAAATTAATCTCCTTATTTACAATTCAAAAACCACACACCAGAACACAGAGTTTATAGTTTATAGATAATATAGATCTTTGCTTTCACACTCAGTTGCCCTGGAAAGGCTGAGCAGTTTTCAATCTGCTGAGCTGATTTATAGCAAGTACAGTTGTAAATTCAATTGTACTAGGTGTTCAGCCTATGCCCTCCCAGTGATGTATCTGTGAACTTTCAAAAGGACAAGTTATCATGAACATCTCTCTATTTTCTTTTGCTGATCTGGAGTAAGAAGTGATACAATGATAATCTGCCTAAAATAAACCTTAAAACATAATCTCCACATCATCCACAGACCCCATTCAACCACAGCACGAGCACGATCACTCTGCAATGCAAGGTGAAGGCATTCTCTGCTGCTTCTAGGACATGTAAGTCCCTCCTGAAGTTTGACAGAGATAAATAAATTGTGGTCACGACCTGGATAGGCTCACTAGTAGCATTCGACGTCGGTGGCGTCTTCTCTTACCTGTTTAAAAGAGGCTCAGTGGCCTTGAGATTTGAACACAATACAGCTGATGGAATCTTGCCACTTTCCTTTTGAATAGACTTTAATTGAGAGCGAAGTGAAAAATGCAGGTTACAATTTTAAGTGTTATCATCAATATCTTGTAAGATCAACACCCAGTGATGCATCTAGTACTTATACAGTCTTAATTTTAGTTGTCAAAGAGCAAATCATTATCAGACATATATTTACACAGTAATTTCAAGCAACAGTAAATAATAAATTCCCTCCCTTAAAAAACAAAACACAACACAACACACACACGCACGCACACGCACACACAAGCACTTTTAAACAATGCATTTCCTCACCCAGGAAGTCTCATTTTTTTCACATATACTTGTAGACCCAAAGTTACTTAAGTTACTTAAAAACAGTCTGATCAGTGGAGATTCTGGACCAGCCCCTATTTTCTTTTAAAGTCACTTTCATTTTTACAACTTGAAGCCACATAACCAGCATGGTTTGTTTACACCAAGGACACCCCCAATGATGAAAATGAATTCCCCTTCATTTGTGCGAGGAGATATGTACATCTATGAAGACACATATGATTACTACTCAAAAGAGTCAAAAACATACACAAAAAAATCTCAGATCATCATAGTTTCTTAAGAGCAGTGTGCCAATGTTCACATTGAAATAACTGAATGGTAAAATTCTTTTAGATTTCTATACAGAGGTACTGGTTAGTTCTGATTCTTTCTTCAGCTGCTTGAAATGCATGAGCTTTACAAGTTGCCTGGCAGAACTACATCCTGCTTTCCAGGTTAGCGGCCTGGCTGACCTCGGGAATGTTAGACAAGACTCACCCCCGATGCCTTGCTCTCTGATTTATTTCTTGCTGATGCTGTTAGTAAATGGAAACCATGACAAAGTTTACATTAGCAGACACATACACATGCCCTGGCCTATAAATATTCCATGATGGAAAATGGTACAATAATTCCATCCCCAGCGAAAACGAGCATAAAAAAAGAAGGGAAGGGTCAGGGGGACATGATCAGCCATGACTCTTCTACAGTAGAAAATCCAGACCAAATGGCAATGGGCTTTTAACTAACCGGACACTGTTAGCCGCTTCTCCAGGGCCTGTGAGTCAACTAAAAGTAGGCAGAGCAGAGATCAACTCTTCCAGACACACCTGGTGGTTTCCAGAGGCACCGATATCTTGTCTTGGAAGTTGGATGAAGAAGATCAACTGAAGTTTCCTTCTTAGGGAAGTGAGTGAGGAGGAGTGGAGAGTCAGACTTGAAAGCAGTTCACACACCGTGCTGCCTGGGACACTGAAGGGTCCCCGAGGAAGACCCCCTCAAAGTGCCAGCTGGAGTTTGGTCATGTTTCTCTGATGCATGTTGTGATGGCGGACTAATTCATCTGACCGGGCAAACTTTTTCTGACAACTTGGCCACCGACAGCTGAAGGGCTTTTCACCTGTTGACACAATTGCCAGTCAGAGACACTTGCAATGAAGAGACGGGCGCAAGTTCAACTATCAAGGCCTGAGTCAAGTCATTACAAGGCACCCACTCTGAATTCCCCATCGTTCCATCCCTGAGCTAACCAACTGAGCTCATTTCCCAGGAAGCCTTGAAACAGCAGCACCTCTGGGGGCTTTAAGGATCGAAATACTGTAAAGTTATATCCTTAGGCCAGAAAACTTGGAAAGTGGGAGATAAAGAATGAGTCAAGTTGGGGGAAATGTCTGAGCAATTCATAATTAAGGGGAAGAACGTTTGTTTCAGTCTCTGCTGACAGAATGTTTTGCGGACTGTGTAAATTTCTCCCCCTTGCTGAGTAAGTTGGGAACTGAGCAGAACTGGGCTGCAGAAGCCTCCAGGTCATCACCCTGGGTATTACTGAGTGATCACTGTCCAGGGATCTGAGCTGTGACTGAAGCTTTTAACACTTCTATCTGTGTAGATACCCTGGATGGGCTGGATACTTTAAAAATAAATCACTGATACCAGTTTGCATGTTATGTGTTGTTTTTGTTTTTCTCTTAAAGTGTTACTGAGAGCATAATCTTGTTATATGGAAGATTCTAGTTGGGGCGTGGTTCTTAGATTTTTAATAAGCTTGCCAAAAGATTGAGGCTTCTCCACCCAAAGAGCCCTCAGACATTCTTTCCAAGCCTCATTCTCATTAGGGAGAATAACTATCATTTATTTGATGCTTAACATATGCCAAGCCTTGTGCTGGGCTGCACACACACACACACACACACACACACACACACACCCCCTCATGTATTCCTTACAACAGCCCATAGGGGAAGCGTTATTATCCCCACTCTACAGATGAGGTAGGACATCTATTGAAGGCAGATGCAGGCAGAACTCAAATCTCCAGGTCTGTTGAATTCCAGAGCCCATGCTCTTTCCTGTATCACACCTCCCAGGCCTAGCCATGATGGAAAAGCAGCTGCGGCTCCATCCTAAGGAAGAAGGTGCAGAAGCCAAACCCTGTACCACTTGACGGATCTTCTCAGATACTGCTGGTCCCACTTGGCCTTCTCTGAGTACTGATTTGGACAAGCACTGAGAAATGTCCCAGGAGGGCTGGTGTCCCAGGGTCAGACTGGAGGCCAATCAAATGCGGTATTAAACAGTCTGCTGGTGAAACAGGTCATGTCACACTTACTTGGGGAGTGTGGCAGCAGTGTACAAGGGACTATAACACTTTGCCACCAAATTATGAGCTCAGGACTAAGTCAAAGAAGCATCGAAGGCACCTGAGGAAGGGAAGCAAGATCCCATCCCACCAACCATGGACCACAGGTACCTTGGCTCTGTTTTTAAATGCAGCCAGTTTGGGCAGAGAATCTGGGGCTGCCCAGGGGTTTGTGATGTCATGTTTTCCTTCACACGCTGTTCCTCTGCTCTTCCTGGCCTGGCTCCCACTCTCCAACCCCACCTCCAGCAGTGCCGTCAAGGGCTGGCTCCTAATGGACAAATCCCAACCCTCTCTCTCATCATCTTCATTCCTCTCAGTCTCTCAGTGGTGTTCAGCTTTGCTGACTTTGACTCTCTGCTTGACTCTCCATGCTCCCTGGACTGCAGCGTAAATGCCTGTTCCTTCTCCAATAAAGAAACAAGTGAGACAAGGCAGGCTGGAAGCAGACAGAACTGGATTTGCTACTTACTAACTTTGTGATTTTAGATAAGCCATTGAATTACTATTGCCTCAGTCCCCTCATCTGTAAGATGGGAACAAAACATGCCGACCTTACTTTTTTTGTTTTGTTTTGAGACAGGGTCTTATTCTGTCGCTTGGGATGAAGTACAGTGGTGGGATCACCGCTCACTGCAGCCTCAGCCTCCCAAGCAAGCTCTAGTGATCCTCCTACCTCAGCCTCCCCCAAATAGCTGGGACTACAGGTGCACACCACCATGCCCAGCTAGTTTTTGTATTTTTTGTAGAGACAGGGTTTTGCCATGTTGCCCAGGCTGGTCCTGAACTCCTGGGCTCAAGTGATCCACCCACCTCAACCTCCCAAAGAGCTGGGATTACAGGCATGAGCCACCACACCCGGTCCTATCTTACTCTACTTACAAGCATGTTGTGAAGATAGACTTAGATAAGCTAAGCATTAACCCTCTTTCCAAAGGTAGAAAATATGCAACAAAGGTGGTGCTATTTTTATTATGAATCACACCAGCCTTGCAGAAAGCAAAAACCTTCAGCAGCCAGTAAATAAATGCCCTATTCTCCTCTCTGTACTAGTACAAAAGAAATAATATCCACACACTGATACTGGTCCCACAGAAACCAAGACCGCTCCGGGGGCATTAACTTTCAGCAAAGCAAGGACTCAGTTCTCTCAAAACAGTGCCATGAAACATGTGCTCTCAGAAGAATAAAAGTTTGGCTTGCTAGAATTTCTGCTGCTTTTCTATAAAGTTGATTATCATATCAAACAGAGTGACAAAATGTGTGACATGACAAACTGGAAACAGTAGGGACCTGGCTTATCTCTTCATTTTCATTCTGCACACTCCAGCCATTTTTTTCCCATCTTTCTCCTTCTCTGTATTTCCACCCTCCCCTTCTTTAAAAAATGTTATTATTTATTATTTAAAGATAGCCATGCACTATTCCTTCTCTCAGCTGAGGCTAAACCTTAGAACTTTTACACTAGTCTTTTCCAATCCCTCTCATCACAATTTCATTCCACAATAGTTTAAAAAAAAAATGAAAAATAAATGTGAAGAAAAGTTTACGCACTTGTTTTACCTGTATGAGTCCTGGTGTGGGTCTTCAGGTGGTCGGACCGGGAGAACTTTCGCTGACAAGTTTTACACTGGAATGGTTTCACACCTAAATGGACAGAGAAGGTCTAGCCTCGGCCCTAACAATGTGGGGCACAGTGAGGCCCACAAGGCTGACTTCTGACAGCTGGAGGAGCCCAGCATTTCCAGCCACGCCTGCAATGTCTGCATCTGCCTCACCCTCAGATTTCCCCAGTCCCCCAGGCCCAACAAGAATCCCTGATTCTGCACAGTAATCTTCAAGGACCTGCTTCTAGCTTGGGAACAGTCATTCCTTAACCACAAAGGTCCAGCTTCTCACCAGCTGGAAGATCTCAGCTGTGTCAGAGACAGGAAAAGTGAATCACACGCTACAAATTGGATCCCACTCTCCGTCACCCTCATTCTTTGCCGATGTTCAGTGTATCATCAGCCCAATGCTAGTGGGATCTTGCTGTTCTGTGGTTTGCAGGGGAAATGTGGGGTGTTTCCTTTTCTTTCTTTTTCTTTAAGAGGAGGAACATCTCCAGAGATTATGGGGGAAAAATACTGGAAAAACTAATAAACACATGGCTGACTCTCTCATTCATATTCAACAACAAAGAGAATCATGAAATCAATCCTAGCCCAAGGGAACATGGCTGGCAACAATGAGAAGTGAACCTACAAACCTGTATGTCTCCTTTGGTGTCTTTTGAGCTGGTCTGAACGAGAAAACCTTCGCTCACAGTCCTTGAAGTCACACTGGTATGGTTTCTCACCTTGGGGAAGACACATATTCTATTTGAAAATGACACTGGAAAAGGGGATCTCATTCAAGGCAACCTCTCCTACTAGGACTGAACAGATCCCAAAATGCCTAAAGCACTTTGTTGGAGCTTTTTAGGGTAGGATGATCCCCAACCTGCAAGTTAGAAATGAATGGGAGCTCAGGGGCCAGAGGATTCCACCCCGAAGCTCACATCTAGCTCTGCCATTTAAAAAAAAAAAAAACAAAAAAAACAAAAAACCCTGGGTGAGGTGTGGTTTCTTTATTGCAAAATGGGTCCAATAATACAGCAGCTTCAAAGGATTTATGACCTTTGCATAAAGGGCTCAGCCCAGGGCCTAGCACAGAAGGAGTGCTCAAAAAATATTAGCAAATAAAAAAAATATTTAACTCCCAGGCAGAATCTGAGGCAGAATTCTGGGATGCATGTGCCTTGAGGTCAACCTCATGAAATAAGAGTTTTATGTTTTACGGCCCGAAGATCTGGTGTTCTGTGCTACGACTCCTTGTTCTTGAGTCAAGCAAATATGCCTCCATGGTTGTGAGATCCTCGAGATACACCAAAAGCATTGAGAAAGTTTTTGGTGTGCTTTATCCAAGAGAAGCCAGTAGTGGGATTACCCAACCTCCTGACTCAGAATGGAGAAGCCTCACTTCTGCCCTCACTAGAGAAAGTTCAGCCAGATACTGGGACCTGAGCCCCAAGAGAAGTGAGCAACCCCAAGCCTTCCCACCTTCCTAGGAGAATCCTGAGTCACAGGCATCTGGGATGGAAACAAGCCATTCTGGAATCAGTCAGGTCCTGTTACCTTTCCAACCTCAAAGCCTCTGCTATTTCCCTCACGAATCTCTATTCCCCACTATGCCAGAGCTCACATCCTGAAGTCCTCCTTGCACTCTGCTCACACTAAATGTTCCCTATCTCCACATCGAAAAGTCTCCTGTATGTCTCCTTCTTCTGCAATGCCTACTTGGAAACTGCATGGGTCAATTTCCCTTCCTTCCCTCATTACAACATTTATTCCAGGGTGTCTAATGTGGTGAGCTATGTCTGGGTCTACAATTCTACAATTCTTCCATGGGCTGGAAAATCCTGAGGACTGGAGCCTTTTTATTTCTTTTCTCAGAGACAGAGTCTCTCCCTGTTGCCAAGACTGAAGTGCAATGGTGTGAGCCTAGCTCACTGCAGCCTCGAAATCCTGGGCACAAGCCATCCTCCCACCTCAGCCTCCTGAGTAGCTGGGACTACAGGCATACACCAGCACACTTGGCTAAATTTTTAAAAATATTTTTTGTAGAGACGGGGTCTCACTATATTGACCAGGCTGGTCTTGACCCCCTTAAGCAATCTTCCCGCCTATGCCTCCCAACATACTGGGATTACAGGTGTGAGCCACTGCACCTCGCCCCTTTCTTTGTATTTGTATCCAGCTTGGTGCCTTATGCTTCACCTCTGCACGCTGGAGAACACAATACCCCTATTGAGTCTGATTTCCTTCCCCTGCCTTTGAGCTTCTGCTCACCTATCACTTTCTCTGCCCAACCTACCAGCCTTCACTGGTTAACCCAAGCCCTTCTTCCTCCAAGAAACTTTCTCAGATGACCCTAGTCATCTGATACCCTCCAAACTCCTCGGTGCCTCCTGTCTCTCATTTAGTACATGATCATGTACTCTCTTAGTCACTTTTCATTTGTTTAAATCCTCGCTCCCAAACAAACCACCAGCTCTTTGAGAAGGGGGATTATAACCTGCAGTTAAAAAGCAGGAGCCTGAGAGTCCTCTTTCTGTTATATCCTACCCTCTTAATAAATGTTTTGCGAGTGAGGATTAAATGAAATATACATGTAGAGAGCCTGACACCCAAAAAGTACTTAATATAATAGTCCATACTGTTGTTATAAATAAATAAGAAGATATTGCTCTCTTTCAAGGGGGGCTGTAGGATTGTTAAATACCAACCTGCCCTCGTCTTCTGCAAGGAAGAGTTTCTTAAAGGCTCCAGTGGGTCTGGGGTTCTGGCTCTCCTGTTCACTGCCTTCCCTTCACACAGTTGTCTAATCCTCACTGCATTCTAAGTGCTTCTCTCCCATTAAAAGTTTCTACAACCATATTGCCTTCATTTATTCCCTTGCATTTTTCAGGCAGGATTTTACTTTTTCGTTTTCCTTATAACCTTGACAGTCACTTTTCAAATGATCCCATTTGGGGAAATGTATAAAAATATAACATGCCACTGGTCCCCTCCTCTTTAGCCTCAAAGTCTGTGGCCCACTAAGTGCAAACTCGGGTTGATACCAGAATTGTATCCTCTGGATACAGTGAATTAGCAAAATCCAGTGGTCTAAGGAAATCTGAATGCAGCTCACTTTTTTCTCCAGCTTCCCAAGAGCAAAATCAGCAGTAATATTACAGTTGTAACAGTCATCTTATAATTATGCTGTTCTTTGATTGTGGAAAAGGTAGCAGTAGCTCCTCTGTAAGAAAACCTGGGTTTCACCACACTCCCACACTCCCACCTAGTGCCCACAAGGCCCAGAGCAAACATTCTGTGACATGGCTGTCCACATTCAAGGTGGCCAACACCAGACAATGGCCAGTTCTCTGTTTCCCACAAGCAGCCTCCTTGACCTGGGGGAAAATCCAGTTTCATTGGAGTATCTTCAAAAATCATCATCTCTCTCCCTCTCTCTCCTTTTTTTTTTTTTTTTTTTTTTGGCAGATTCTTGCTCTGTTGCCTAGGCTGGAGTACAGTGATGAGATCTTGGCTCACTGCAACCTCTGCCTCCTAGGTTCAAGCAATTCTCCTGCCTCAGCCTCCCGAGTAGCTGGGATCACAGGTGCGTGCCACCACACCCGGCTCGTTTTTGCATTTTTAGTAAAGACAGGGTTTCACTTTGTTGGCCAGGCTGGTCTCCAACTCCTGACCTTGGGTAATCCACCCACCTCAGCCTCCCAAAGTGCTGGGATTACAGGTGTGAACCCCTGCACCTGACCTTTTTTTTTTTTTTAAGTGATCACAAAAAAAACAATCAATTTTCCCCTTCCTGTCTGGTTGATTATTACTGACCTAAGCAGGTAAGTTTTTCTTTGGACCATCTCTTCCAAAATTTCACAACGATCTTGCCCATCGACCTTCTAAAACCACCTGATGACTATATTCCCAGGCTAGCTCCTCTCTCTTTAGAAATGCTAATAGTATTCTAACACCAACACGATTCCCACGCAGGTCTCTTTAATTCTGTGGTACTTTCTCTCTACCACTCTGCTCTGCCCTTCTGGAAGACAGTTTACTGACTTCTGTAATAAAGGATGGATAATCAGAATGCAAAATGGCCTCACAGCCTCTTTACATCACCTGGATCAGACCTTTCAAAGCAGTGCTTACTTTCCATCCTGGAAATGACCTGGGTCCTTAGCAGCGTGACAGCCTGGAAAAGGAGCTCTTGAACCATGTTTGTCCAAGGCTGGACAGTGGGCACACTTACCAGTGTGCTTTCTGCTGTGCATCTGTAAGTGGGACAGCTTAAAATATCTCTTATTGCAGCCTGGGTAAGCACACATGAAGGGGCGTTTCTCACTGGTCTCAGATGCCGACCGCACAAGAGTCGGGGCTACTCCAGGCACACGCCGCACATCCTGTAGGCAGACAGTAAGAGGCAAGGAGGCTTTAAGCCATATGTGAACATTCAGGTAGGTCTTGAGGGAGAGTGAGCACTGGAATATATTCAAAGAAGGGGTGGCAGGTGCAGACCTAAAACCACTCCCATTCACACTCCAGATCGCCATGGCAGACATCACTAATGGATGCTAGATCAGGACATTCTACAATGCAGTGCTCTGGGGTCATCACTACTGAGCAACCAGAAGTGGCTCTCGAGATGAAACCTACATGAAATGGCTGTCCCAGAGCCTCTGCAAAAGAAATGCTGGTGCCTCGAAGAGCTCCCAATCCATTCTCTCTCTCAGTTTCTCCTCTTGAGGTAGTGATGTTTCCAAGTCCAAAGTCCCAAAACCTAACTACTCCCTCCCGCTTGGAGACATGACCACATGACCTAGAGCCAATCTGCAATGGGGGGGGGGCATCCTTATTTGAAAAAAGTGGGATAATGAATGAGCCCCAAACTGACCAGATCGTCCAAGTATAGATAAATAACAAGGAAGAAGGAGCCCCTGGATGTGGTGGTCCCATCTGTGAAAGGAAGCAAAACCCACCAGAAGGCCATGGTGAAGCCAGCACAACCTTTAATAGTGACACCAGAAAGCACTGGAATCCGTCTGCCTTCTGTGCACTGCACACATCCTTTGCAGGGCATCTGTTGCTCCTCTTTATCTTGTGGAAGTGCAGTGTGTGTGTTGTCAGTCTTCCAAGAATAAGAACTGGAGGAAAACAGAGAGGCAAGCTCCCCTTCCTCTTCTTGGGGTCAGGGAGTCATAAATGGGAGCTCAGCAAGTGCCTGAGTGGGCACTAAATTCTCCTCATTCCTTTACAGATGTGCAAATCAACCCCATAGAGGGTGAGATGCTGACACTAGAGTGCATCCATGTTTTGGTTTTGTTTGTTCTTAAGACAGGATCTTATTCTGTTGCCCAGGCTGGAGTGCAGGAGTTGCCCAGGCATGATCGGGGCTCGCTGTGGCCTCGACCTCACCAGCTCAAGTAATCATCCCACTTGAGCCACCTGAACAGCTAGGACAACAGGTGAGAGTCATCATGCCCAGCTAATTTTTTTTTGGTAGAGACAGGATGTCCCTGTGTTACTCAGGCTGGTCTCGAACTCTCGAGCTCAAGGGATCCTTCCACTTTGGCCTCCTAGAGTGCTGGGATTACAGGCATGAGCTACCATGCCTGGCCTAAAGCACATTCATGTTTTGTGCTAAGACCTGGAACCACTTCTGAGTATAACCAACTTCTTGCCCCGCGCATTTTCCACTCTACCCCATGCTTGTGTTCTAGTCCCTATTTCACATTGCCCTGCACTGAAAGGTCACTTTCTTTTTTTGGAAGAAAAATGCTATAGTGACATACAACGCAACATTGATGTTAATAGGCCGAAGTGTCTCAGGGATAATGGTGGCATAAAATTAAATGGTGAGCCAGTTGTTGGATGGGAATACTCAACACCTGTCCAGTCTGGAGTTTTTTAGAGGCCATGACAAAGGAGCTTGACAAACTGGGCTTGATGGGAAAGAAAGCAAAGGAAGCATTTTCCATTTCCCTTAATTCATCCTAGAAGCAGTGCACATGGGAACAGTTGTTAATCTCAGTAAGGGCCCTGGTGAAGGATTCTGATGGTATTCATCAGGGGACAGGCTTGATGGCTCCCCAAACCGTCGTCAGATTTCCATATTTCTGTAACTCTTGCCTTTATTCCTCTCCATTGAAAGGCTTGGGAGTAGGGAGCACACTGTTCTCTCTTTGTGACACTTCTGGAAACATTAATCAGAACATCTCAGAGCTACTTGCCCCACGTATCCCGTGGGGTCTGACCCGGATACAACTTACTTCTAGAGTACTGACCATTCTGGTGAAAGTATCACTGCTGTTACTCATGTTGCAGCCATGGATTGATGTTTATAAGCCATAAACGAAACCCTTAGTAACTGCGTGTGCTTCTGACCACCCAAAATAGAGACTCCGCAGGGAAGGTAGGCTGAAGGTCTATGGAGGTGGCAGACCAAAATGTCTATTGAATTCTCTGAAACTTTTACCTTTATACTTTACTTTCCTCATGCTCGTTGGAGACCTCTCCCTCCTCCGAAACTGTTCACCATCCTCTGCCTCCCTAAGAAGCAGTATCAGGAGGTAGGTATAAACAGGGGATCTGAAGTCAGGCAAGACCTGTGTTATTAGTCTCGGCTTCACCATTTACTAGCTAGGTGATTCTGGTCAAGTTATTCATCACCTCTGGGCTTCAGTTTCCCCACCCATAGAATAGAGAGAATAACAGTACCTACCTCATCAGGGTGTACTGCAGATGAAATGAAGGGGGAAAGGCCACATATAGACACGGAGAAACCTTACATGCATATTGCTAAGAGAAAGAAGTCAGCCTGAAAAGGCTACATCTAGTATGATTCCAAATATATGACATTCTCAAGAAACAGCAGTGATTGTTGGGAGAAGAAGAGGGAGGGAAGAATAGGTGGAGTGTAGGGAACTTTAAGGGTAGTGAAACTATTCTGTATGATACTAGAATAATAGGTACATGGCATTATGCATTTTTCAAAACCCATAGAACTGTACAATACAAAAAGTGAACCGTAAGGTAAACTATGAGCTAACAATAACTTATCAGTATTGGCTCATCAATTACAACAAATGTACCACATCAGTACAAAATGGTACAAATAGGGTAAAGTCCATTTTTTTCAAGTCTACGTATAAAACTTAGCACAACGCCTAGTATATAGAAAATGTCCAGCCATAGGCGGTACAGTTAGTATGATTATCATCAACACTTGCCACGATGTGTCTACCTGTGGGCACTTTACGATGTAAACCAAATCTTAGAAGTCAAAGGTCCAGGCGGTTAATTCAAACCCAATTAGCTCAAAAGCAAAAGTCACACAGCCTGCCCTGGAGAAGTCAAATGGAGCAGTAAATGCAGAAAGGAGAGGATTCTGTAGGACGCATCTTGGGCTGTGTCAGGCAGCGGGGCAGCCTCTCTGGGAGAGGACACAGCTGCGTTATCAGACCCAGGGGACGAGCAGGGGTCCCTGATGTTAAAGGAGCCTGCAATGAAGAAGAGGCTTGCCAGGGCCAAAGAGTCCATCAGTAAGGAACTAAAGGGCCGGTAAGCAGGAAGAGGCAGTGCAGCCCCCATCCCGCTAGGGCCTCTGCATGCTCACCTGAATGCCTCTGAAGACACCATGCGTGTGTATTCTGTACTGGGCGCCGCAGAGGATGGGCGTGGTGTGGTTATCGCTCTCGTACCCTGTGCCGTGGCTGCAAACACAAAGAAGGGAAAAAAGGCTCAGGGTGGCTCACAGTCGCCATTTGGAAATGCTTATCTGCAGTCAGGAGGGAATGATTGTTTTTACAGTTCACAGAACAAAAATAGTTGGTTTTTGCCTCCCTCCACGGGGCCACTTTAGGTGCAGGGTTCTGCGGATGGCGAGGCCGCTGGATCCTGGGGCCGCCACCTCGCAGCCCCTCCCTCATCCTCCGATTCTCGCAGGCGTGCACCGTTCCGGTCTAGGGTCTAGGTCTCGCTCAGACAAGCCGACGAAAGCCGCAGTGGCAGGGTTTCATCCTCGGCAAGTTGTTTACCATCTAGACGGCAGGGCTGACAGCTGCAAGTATCTCAGGAATGAGCAGAATGCCTCAAGCTTCACGTTAAGTGCACTGAATTTTTGTCGGCACCTCATGACTCAGTTTTTACCAGATAACACCAAAAAAGTGATGACGCAAGAAGAAATGTCGTGTCCTCAGAAGTGGGGATTACACATCTGTGGACCCATTCTGCTTAAACGACAGGTCAGTTTTCCAGATCAACTTAACTCTTGGTAGCCTGCCTGTGCTGTAGGTGGGCACTGGAGAATCTTCCTCCAGCATTCGACTGACCAGTCCCCTAACTGGTGCTCAGGTCACCTTCGACTACATAGGAAGAGCTGAAAAATGTGCAACGCTGAAAAGGACAACTTGGAAGGGATGGATGTTCTGCTCTAAAATTATTCTCTCCTTCAGATACAATGCCGCTATCTGCTCTACACTTACTTTACTTCCAGATGAGATGAGGCGGACTGAGGTTTTTCACCCACACCAGCAGCACATTAGAATCACATCTAGAAGCACCGAGCAGAGCTCTTATGAAATAGTTCTGTGAAATGATGCAGCTGCTTTGCAAAATATCTGGCAGTTCCTCAAAAGGTTAGACATAAAGTTAACGTATGACCCAGAAATCCCACTCTTAGGGATATTCCCAAGAGAAATGAAAACAGATGTCCACACAAAAACTTGTATACATGGTGCATTAGCAACATTATTCCTAAGAGCCAAAAAGTAGAATCAACCCAAATGTCCATCAACTGATGAATGGATAAACCAAAGAGAGTATCTGCATATGATGGAGTATTATTCAGCAGTGAAAAAGAACAAAGTACCAATACATGCTACAATATGGATGAACCTTTAAAACATCATGCTAAGTAAAAAGAAGCCACTCACAAAAGACCACATGTAGTATGACTGCATTTCTATAAAATGTCCAGAATAAGCAAATCTATAGGGATAGAAACTAGATTAGTGGTTGGGTGCCTTGAACTGGGGGAGTTGGGAAGACATAGAAAATGACTGCTGAAAATGTCCTAAAATTGTGGTAATGGTCATACAACTGTGAATATACTAAAAACCACTGCATTGTACACTCTAAATGGGCGAATCACACGGTCTGTGAAATCCATAAATCTGCTTTTAAAAAATTATTGGTGGGGGGGTAGTCCAAGAGGGATACATCAGTATATTTATTTATTTATTTGAGATGGAGTCTCACTCTATCACCCAGACTGGAGTGCAGTGGTGCGATCTTGGCTCACTGCAACCTCCGCCTCCCGGGTTCGAATGATTCTGCTGCCTCAGCCTCTGGAGTAGCTGGGATTACAGGCGCACGTCACCACGCCCGGCTCATTTTTGTATTTTTAGTAGAGATGGGGTTTCACCATGTTGGCCAGACGGGTCTCAAACTCCTGGCCTTAAGGGATCCAGCCATTTCGGCCTCCCTAAGTGCGGGGATTACAGGTGTGAGCCACCAGGCCCAGCCACATCAGCATTTTTAAAAGCCTTCAGGTGGGATTAAACTGGCTGCCAGCACTAAGAATTCCATTCTCTGCCTCCATTACTCTCAACAGTTGGTTCCAGGGGTGCTGGGCAGGGAGGCAGGTAAGCTGGCGGGCGGATCAGCCCACTCCATCTGCTGTAGTGTGGGGAAGCCTGGAGCTGACCCAATACTCACTCACCCAGCAGAGAGAGTGCCTGGACAGGAAGAATGTCTGCCAGGACAACTGAAAAGTCCACACCCCCTAGGGCCACAGAAGCTGTGGGGTTTCACATTTACTTCTGGCTCTAAGCATTTTAGAAAGAACTGCCTGCCGCTCTAAACTACCATACCTTGTCTCCACATCCTTCAAATAATTTTTGACTTATCTGGGACAGGGGGAATGTCTCAAAGAAGTAACCCCAGGGTCAAACATGAAAAAATTGGGCAAAAATGCCAAACCGAAAGAACATATGTCCTTCTGATCCTTAGAATGTGTTTACCAGGAGAAAAAGGCTGTGTCTGCCTTCCTTACAATCACTTGGTATAGACAGTGGGAAAGTGAGAGGTGATGACAATGGCCATGTGGCAGCAGAAAGAGGGCAGGACCAGAATGGTGCCATGGTGCTGCCAGAACATTTTGCCTCAAAGGTTGTGAAGAGAAGCTGCCTTTGCTTGCTTCAGTCATCTGCATGGAGCCACAATGTGACTTACACATTTTCTTTCTGTTTCTTTTTTAGAGCTTGCTCTATTGCCCAGGCTGGAATGCAGTGGTGTGATCATAGCTTACTGCAGCCTTGAATTTCTAGGCTCAAGTGTTCCTCCTGCTTCCGTCTCCCAAAGAGCTGGGACTATAGGTGTCCCACACCATGCCCAGCTGATTTTTATTTTTATCTTTGTAGAAACAGGGTCTTGCTATGTCCTCCATAGGATGGTCTCAAACTCCTGGGCTCAAGTGATTCTCCCACCTTGGCCTCCCAAGATGCTGGGATCACAGGAGTGAGCCACTGCACCTGGCCTACTTTCCACATTTTCTAGGGCTGAAGGAGTTCTAGGGACACAACATTGAAGTTCTGCCATTGAACGGTAAAAATTAGAAATCTGTCTTGACAGCTAAGCTCTGGATGTTAGCTGGATTCCTGGAGGGTGGGGACACGGGAACAGACTTTCCTGAAGACAACTGTCTCATGAAATGAAGCGCCGTGACACTCAAAGGGAACAGCAATCCGCAGAGCCAGACGCAAACCACAAACAAAAGAAGCAACATGCAACAAGACTGTGCCTGCCAAATATGCCAGTAGATTCTCCTACCAGGTCTAGGAAGAAAAAAAAAAAAAACAGCCAGGCCCCTGCCTATGGGGACTTGGGTCTCCAAAAGACAAACACACCAATGCAATTCCACACTGTGGAAACCTGCAATTCAACACTTCCCAATGTGGTGTGCCCAGAGCACCAAGTATAATGTACTGGCATTTGACGTGGTAACAATTCTCTCTAAATAAGTTTATAAAAAGCACCTCGGTGGTCTGGGAACCACAGACTAATAGAGATAGAAAGGACCTAGAAAGACCATCTACGCCAACCCCCCTTCAAAGTAGAAATCTCTTCTAGCTCATGCCCAACAGTTGATCAACATGACTGGTGACTAGTTTTCAAGAGAGCCCATTCCATTTTAGAAGAGCTTTAAAAACAAGCTGAAATCTGCCTTCTCGTCTCTGACTCCTGGAGAACCACTGAAAGAATATTACTTTTTAAAATTATTTTATTTTATTTTTTGAGACGGAGTCTCACTCTGTCACCCAGGCTGGAGTGCAGTGGCGCGATGTCAGCTCACTGCAACCTCCGCCTCCTGGGTTCACGCCATTCTCCTGCCTCAGTCTCCTGAGTAGCTGGGACTGCAGGTGCCCGCCACCACAAACGGCTAATTTTTTTTGTATTTTTAGTAGACACGGGGTTTCATCATTTTAGCCAGGATGGTCTCAATATCCTGACCTCAAGATCCGCCCGCCTCGGCCTCCCAAAGTGCTGGGATTACAGGTGTGAGCCACCCCGCATAGCCGCAAATATTACTATTTTACAGCCATCTGTGTGTATCTCCTCTGCCCCATTGTAAAGTTGGCCTTGAATACAAAGACTCCCTGCTCCTCTCTGCATCCTCTAAACTCAGTGACTGAGGCCGGGCGCAGTGGCTCACGCCTGTAATCCCAGCACTTTGGGAGGCCAAGGCAGGCGGATCACGAGGTCAGGAAATCAACACCAGGCTGGCCACCATGGTGAAACCCATCTCTACAAAAATATAAAAATTAGTTGGGCATGGTGGCACGTGCCTGTAATCCCATCTACTTGGGAGGCTGAGGCAGAAGAATCGCTTGAACCCAGGAGGTGGAGTTACAGTGAGCCAAGATCATGCCATTGCACTCCAGCCTGGGCAACAGAGCAAGACTCTACC